TTTCAGCAGTTCCAGACTTGAACATTTGAATGTTTTTGATGAATAGGTTTTTTTTTTAAAGTCAATTAATTCTTTAAGAAATGCAAAAATAAAAAAAATAAATAAAAGTTTCTCATAATTGATTCACATGGGCCATAATAGAGTTCTATTGAGTTGTGGAGAAGATCTATTAAGCATTGTATTATATCTTTTTTAATATCTATTAATTGTGTTATATTGTAAGAATATGTATTGCAAATTACTGTTATTCATCTCATTGTAAATGGATATTATTAAGTCACTCGTTTCTTTGTTTCATTAATCATTTAAACAGGAAACAGTTGGTTATATTTTTAAATTTTGTTGATTCTATTTTTAGCGCTGTCAAAAAATGGGTACTTCTGGTTTTTCTATGGATTCCCATAATGCCTTTTGCCATATTTGATTCAAGTGTTTCAGGCCTTGTATTAAATAGAAACTATTATAGCAATAGCTTAATTTGAATTTGATGTCATAAAATCCACTATGTTATTATTATTATTATTATTATTGTTATTATTATTGCTATTATTATTATTATTATTATTATTATTATTATTATTATTATTATTATTATTATTATTATTATTAATAGTATTATTATTAACTGTTTTAAATTGACTCCATTATAATAAGTTAACATAGAATGCGTTCAATCAAAAAATTAATTCAATAATTAAAAAACAATGTAGATGTTATTATTATAATATATCATGGAATCTTTTTTATTACTTAATAAAGTTCAATATTACATTTTTTAAATGTTTAATAAACTAATTTCTTTTTTTTTCCTCAATATTTGAATAATTGAATTAAAATATGTCAATTTTATATATAATATTATAAATTGAGCCTTTGCAAGAAATAATGAGTTTTCATTTTAAAAAAGATTTTAAATATAAGTAAAAATAAAAACTTTGTTGTGAAAGCAAAGAATATTTCAAGTTTCAATGTACCTTATATTAAGAAATATAAGTTGTTGTGCTTTCACTTGCCTTAAGAAAAATGGTTTAGTGTACGTTTTGTGCGAATTTTCGATGCAGCCTTGGAATATGTTTATGAGTAAATTATTTTTAGTAAAAAAATAAATAAAAGTAGGAACGAAACCAAAAAAAAAAATTGAAAAAAAAATTAAGACTTTTTTTTATATATTATAATATAATAAATTATTTTAAAAACATGATGATGTTTTTAAATAAAATTGACATTAACCCTTTAACAGTCCTGTGGATTTTTTAAAATACGGTCACTATAAGTCTAGCTTTTATTTTAAAGTGGTCGCTAAATGTCCCGTGTTTTTTAAATCATCATGTTTGTTTACAAATAAAATAAAAGTTTTTTTTTACTGTTTTTAGCCTTATAAAGTAGCCCACTACAAAATGTAACTATTCAAGTTTAAGAATATATAAATCATAATACTTAAACAAAAAATTATAAAAATGTATTCACTAATATTCACTTTTTGTATGAGAATTGGAAAAGCATGGAGCTGCACAAAGTCTTCTAAACATTCATATCTTGAACCTAAGTATTCTAAACATTCATATCTTGAACCTATTTGATTTATGTGTTTGTAACATACCGCACACCTTCTTTGAGCATTAGTCTTATATTAACATTTTCTATAATCATTCATCAAGTATATATTTTCATAATTGGTTCATCAAATGTATAATTTTTTATCCTTTAGTGAGTAAGTATTTACATTTTGGTAATTATTTTTGCATTGAAAGAACTTCCTTATTTGTCATATTTAAAATTTAAGTAAACACGTGTAAAAGTAAATTATTGAAACAAAAGCTTTTTAATTATGTAGTAATAAATTTTGTGACAAGTAGAGGTATAATACTGATGAACAAGAAGAAAATATAAACAGATACATGAAACCGTAATATTATGGCATGGACATTTAGGAACCACTTTTAGTTTGCGTAATATTGCGGCATGGATATTTAAAAACCACTTTTTATTTGCGTAATATTATGGCATGGACTGTTAACGAGTTAAAAATAAATTTCTTCTTTTATCTGAATTTATTTAATTTTTGATTAGTGCTTACATTAAACGTAATAGTCATTCAAACTTTTCTAACAATCTTCTAAATGTAATCATCATTCAAAGATTTTTAAATATTTTTAAATATTTTTCATAACATCAATTATTTTTATTACCACTTAAAAGATATCATTAGATTAAAAAAAATATTGCTTTAGGCATAAAATATTTTATGCCTAAAGCAATTTTGGTTTAGTTGCTAAACCAAAATTGCTTTAGGCATAAAATTGCTTAACCAAAATTGCTTAACTATACAAAAATTGCTCGCTGCTTAATGCTTTAAAACAATGTGCTTGAAATAGTTGAATTTTCCTCTTGTTAAGAAGACATATGTTTGTATTATAATGTAAAATTTGCCTACAAACATATTTAAATATCTTTACTAATGGATCTGTAAATGTATTCAAGCCCTAGTTTAGTGCTGCATAGGTTGCTTTTATTTTTTTTTTGTTCACATGATTACTTCAAGATATTTAATTTAGGTTACCTGGAAAAAAAGCAAATATAATGTTACAAAACATTATATTTGCTTCTCTTTGCTTTTGGATCAAACTTTATTTATAAATTGTGTTTTTTTGGGAATCTATTGTATTTGTTAATTTCTACCATAATTTTTACAAATTTTAAGCAACAGATTTAATTCTTCATCACTTGGGCAATAACAAAATAAAACAATAACAAAAACAAGAACATCAGCATTCATTAAAAAACTGATTTTTAAATTGTTAATAAAAACACCAAGTGATACTTTTTCCATGTTTGAGTTCGTTTTAATATATATTGAAAAAAAAAAAGAGGCCAAAGTGGTCCACCTTGTTTAACATCAACATTTGTTAAAAAGATTTAAGATTTAAAATGTTTGTGACAATTTTAAGCTAATAACTTTAGTTATAGTTCAACAATTTTTTTTTTTTTTGATGTTTTATATATTAAAAAGATTTTTATGAATTTACATTACACAACATGTGTAACACATTTTATTACTAAGATATTTTAATAAAAAAAACCCTTTTATTCCATTGTTTTATTCCATAAAAATGACTATTTTTTTATTATTATTATTATTATTTTTTTATTGTAAACAATCTTTTTTATTTATTTTTTACTTTTTTATTTTTTATTACTTATTTATTTTTTAAAATTAACAATAAAATATATTTGTTAAAATAGTAGTTTATATTTAACTGTTTAAACTAAGGCCCTGTAAGTTAGCATTTTTAGTTTCGAATCAAATCTTGGATCAAAACGCTAGTTTGAGAAAATCCAAATTCAATTTTTTTTATCTCTATATTTTTACGATATAGAGTTACAATTAGAATGTTATTTATAAACTCTTTTTGTTACTTAGCTCAAATTAACCATTCCACCTTTTGCTTGGAAAGGCTATTGCGTGTACTGTCTCCTCCCACAGTGTTAACTCTTTCTAATGAACAATTTGTAGCTGGTAGAGCATGAAGATCAAGTGCAACTTTAGATAATAAAGGGAAAATGTTATGTTTGTTCTTTCAGTAAAGAATAGGACAATCTGAATGTTTCAATATTTTTTCTTTGGTATATGCAGTAATTTTAAATTTTAATTGCTGATCTAAAGTGCTTCTTTCTGGTAGGGTACAATTTTTAGAAACATGTTGAAACATTTTGTCTAAAACTCTATTTGTTTCAGATGAGAAATTTGTTCCCTAGAGTTAAATTTCATCAGGAATCATAGAAATACTTAAATCATGCTTTTTTTCAGATACTATTAAGTATGGTTCAACAGTTTGCATCTTTGCCAAGGTAAACATTATTGATTTAAATCGAGGGTCTAAGAAGGTAGCACTAAGAAAAATGTCTTCACTTAATTCAAACCTGATTTCCAACATAATAAGATCATCAACAAATTTACTTATCCCTCTTTTATCTATTGAGCAAAGGCAATTTTTTAAAGTTGTAATGCACGGATAAATTACACTAATGCATTTTTTTCTGCACTTACAATAGTAGTGGTTTCAAATACTGCATTTAAAATAGAAGTGAAAAATGTTAATAATTGCACTTTCGTTTCAGTTGTACATGTCGGTGGCACTTTCATACAGTTTTTATTTCTGTGTACACTTAAGTGAACCGTGATTTTTTTTTATTCATCCCAATAAGTTAGAAGTGCTGTTAAAGGAGTTTCCATATCTATTGGAGGCTTTAACTCAGTTTTTCCCTGAGAAATCTGATACTTTTTTAGAGCTGCTTGTTCGACTGATGGTGAGTTAAAAAAACCGACAAAATTTTTGAGCTTTGCTAATTAATGTCACAAGAATTGGTTAGTTGTGGAAAGCTGATTTTTCACAAAGTTGGAGTTCATGAGTACAGCATTCTAGCCAATCAATTCCATAAAGTTTAAGTGTGCACGGCATGCTAGGATAAACAGGCTGTCAAAATTTGTCAAGTCAAATTTTGACAGCCTGTTTCCTATCATTTCTTTAAGTATTTAAATTATTTTTTAGCTTGAAGTAAAATAGTTAACAGTTTTATTCCCAATTTGTAACACACAAAAATATTCAAATTAAAATTACTGAAAAGTGAAGTCGAAAAGTACAGAAACAAAATTATAGATAATATTAATTTGCGCTCAGGTCTGTTTAAAACCTTAATCGGCAATAAATTTTTTAAAATTACATTAAAAATTTCTTACCCGATTTGTGTTAATATTTTAACAACTTTTTAATGCCATATGTATGAAAATAAACAATAAAAAATAATGAAATGATGAAAGCTCAAATCATTTTTTTTTTAATCAAATTTTTGTTCAGGAATTTATCACAATCTGATCAAATAATAATTTCTAATATTTAATAATGATATGAGGTTATAAAATTATTTTCTATTGCAGTCTTTGTGTATATAGAGCATATATGTTTATTTTATTTTTAATGTTTATTTTGTTCATTTTTTAGGCATTGATTTTAAAATTCGAACAATAGACTTGGATGGTAAAAAAATTAAATTGCAAATATGGTATGATTTATTTATATTGCAAAAGTTCTATAAATCATCATTCTTAAGAAAAAGCTTTTATGCTAAAAAAGGTTGTCCTGACCAGTATTTTTTTTTTTTAAATCAATAATAAATCAAATATATTCTGAAAAAAATAATTACATATAAAAATATTTGTATCAAAATCTACAAAATATTTTAATTACAAATGTTAATATGTACAGTAACAAACCTAGAGTTTTTTGGGGATACCATTTTTTTCGGTGACAGTATAGTGAGTGTTTTTGTTATAGCCCTCCCCCCCTTTTCCAGTAAAAACTGGTGCCACATTTATAATTTTTTAATATCATCTTGTTTGTGTTCACCTTCTTAATTTCTTTATTATCTAATTTTATTATTGTGTTATTCTTTTTTTTATCCAAAGATATGGAGTTGGTTTAAAATAGTTTTTATTTACAAAAGGCATGTCTTTAAAGACAATGAACAGTGAACTTTAGCTAAAAAAACTATTATTTAATATTTTAATAAACTTTTTGTTTGTTGCAAAAACTAGACTATTAGTAGTAGGGATTGCAATCACAGAAGTATTTCTACATCCCAGGACTCTTGGATTGAAAACATCAATCCTGGGATCCTGGGATTGAAGAACAATATAACATCTGCATAGTATTAAATAGAATAAAAACAGTACACTTTAAACCAAAAATATATTTATTAAATGAAGGTATATTACATTACATTGTTACATGCATGAGAAAAAAATCTTAGTTTAACATGTTAATTAATGTTAAGAAATTATGTTAAAAATAAAGAAATATATTATGTTTTATGTACTTTGAAATGTGACTTTATTTGTGAATTAGTGGTTTATTAGTTTTTAAGTTGTTTTTATGAATTTGTGATTTTTTAGTTTTGAAGTTGTTGTTTTTTTACAAAAAAATGGTCAGTTTTTTTATTGCATTTTAATTGGTTTTTTAGATTGCTCATAGAAAGAACCTCGTTTAGAAATACAAATTTAGTTTATGTTCTGAGGCAAAAATTTTGTTTAAAACAGCAAATTGTTTAACAAAATGAGTAGACAGTTTACATCCATAATTTACTCATCAGAATTGTCTGATCATCAAAAATCTGTTGGACCTGTCGGATCTGTCCTCTCATCATCAAAAATCTGTCCAATTATCAAAAATATTGCTTAAGTTAATGTTAGAAATCAAATTCTCTTTATCAGAAGATTCACAGTTGGAAGAAACAAGAGTTTGCAAAGCAGTCATTACTGAAGTCATTTTGTTTTTTGCCTATTTTTAATTTCTTAACATTAGTATGATTCTGTATCCGCTTTGGATTATTTCTTACTTCGCCATTTGGGTATTGGTTCAAAAATAATTCTATAGCATGATCATAAATTGTTTTGTCAAAACTTCTCGCGCATTTTAAACAGAGAATGCTTTTTAACCCTTTATTAGAAATATTTTGGCAATTATTAGAAATATACTTTCTGATCTTAAATAATATTAAAAAAAATGTAAACATGTAAATAATTTTATTAGTTAAATGGTTTTAACTAATAGAATAAATTAAAATTAGATTTTATAACTTAATAAAATAAAAATTGCGCTTAAAAAAGCGCAATTATTTTTTATAAACAATATATTATAAATATTATAAACAAAAAACAACAGGCATTTAACAAAGTAATGTTTTTTAACCTTGCTATGCTTGAATAAATTTGAGAAAGAAAAAAAAAATGAATTGAAAAAAAATGAATGAACTTTTGTTTTAAACATGTCAAACTTGAAAAGCAAGTAATTACAATAAAAAAGTTATAAAATAATATTTAACGAATATTATGTATTTATTACATGTATTTCAATTTGCATGCCGACACTTTAGGATATTCAGGTCAGCAGTTGTATGCCGTCCTGAAACAAACATAGGTCGGCTTTTGCATCAGCATTGCCAAATACCGACCTGAATTTCGCTGACTGGGTTTCATCACTCTCTCAACTCTATAAGCATAAAGCATAAAGCAAACATTTCAAAGCATAAAGCAAGGCCATTGCGCATCATAACAAATTAAGCGTGGTCCTACCAGGGATGTGGTAGGGATCAAACTGATGACTAAAGTGTAAAATAATTGTAAGTGGTGCAGCGCAATTGAAACTGTTGGGAATACCAAGCTAGAATATCTTTTTATTATGCTAACTTTCACATAATTAAATAAAAATTTGTAGAAAGTTACAAAAATGTAGATTACATAAAATTAAAAATATTTCTTTGTTAAATAAAAAAAAATTAAAAATAAGATAAAAGTAACTTAACTAAAACTAAAATCAAAAAAATAAAATTAAAAATAATGACCAGATTTTGAAAATAATGATTAATAAATAATGATTAATGACCAGATTTTGAAAACATAAATTATCTTTTTATTGATAGAATGCTTCTCTTTATTGAAAGATATTGCTTCTTTTTAACCTCAAAAATAATAATAATAATAATAATAATAATAATAATAATAATAATAATAATTGGAATATCAACAAAAAACATAACTTCAACATTACTATCCCACAAAAACAATTTCTAATTTTATGAGTTTTTAATTTTTTTCATCTGATCATTTATTCAGATGTATTAACTGATTGTTTACTTTTTTTTTATTAATTCTAAATATGAATATAAATTTTTGAAACTTTGGTGATAAACCAGAGTATTTCAGGCCTCGGTGGTAGTAAATGAGCACAAGAGTGAAGCCCTCTTAAAACGAACATAGTGAGCCATGCGAGCAGCTTCTTTGAACAGCTTTTTATGGGACCTTTTGGTTTTTGCGCAAGCTATCTGTTTATTCATTAAATAAATTGCTTATTAAATATTTAATTAATAAGTTTAATTTTATACTTGTTACAAGAATAATATCATTTTATTTTTCAATAATAGGATTATTTTTTAAAAAACTGATTTTTTATTTAAGAAACCAATCAGTTAGTCCAATCTAATTAAAAATATTTGCACTTCAATTTGTGCTCTTTTTTAATTTTTTTTTTTTTTTTACAATGATATTTTTTTTCTTTTATAAACAATTTTGCGAACTTGATCATATTGTCATTAATGTTATAGTAATATTAAACAGTATTTCACACAAAAGATTTTAGAAAATCTCACTGCAGTGCATATCTGTGTTTGAAAAGATAAAATTTCTTTTTTTTACTAATCCTACTACAACTTAATAGTAATTCACATTTATAATACTAAATTCTGCTTTACCAAAAACAAAATTGTTGTAGTATAAAATAGCCTATATTACTATATGGACAAGTTGTAAGACATTTGTATAGTTAAAATATAATCTCAAGCACAACAAAAAAATCAGTAACTGTTACGCAAAATAAATAAACTATTGCATTTTGTAAGCAAAAAAGTCAATCTGAAATTAAAATTTTGTTATTTTTTTATTCTATGTAGTTTGCACAAGTTTTAATTTTTCTAATCAATATTTAAAAAAAAAGAAAAAGAAGCGGTTTATATTTATGAAAAAATTATATTTTTGCGAGAGCCGTAAATTGCTCCTGTAAATTAGTTTAGGGGAGTGGGCAAGAGCGAAATATAAGTACCAGGCCTCGCTTCCCACTGAGACCTGGTATTTACATTTATTTTGTTTACTTATTTTTTATTTAAAATTTTTTCTAAACTTTGGAAAACCAGGCTTTTGAGGTTTGGTATTATACCAGAGGATTTATATTATGCGAAGTTTAAGCTTAGTTCATTTTTTATTCAAATTTTTTGATAAAATATTCTTATTTACTTTTCATCATTAAAAAAGCAACCAAAAAATCCAAATAGAAATTTATTTTGAATGTACTTTGTTCTTGATTTATCGAAATCCTTTGATTCACTTTTATAACTTTAATAAATTTTCAAAACATTTTTATTGATTTTCAGGGACACTGCTGGACAAGAACGCTTTCGAACAATTACTACAGCATACTATAGAGGAGCAATGGTATGTTTTTTTTGTGAAAACTATATATATTTTTTTATTAGTTTACTTGAAAACTGTATAAGCATGTATACAAAGTCTAATAATGTTTTAGTATTTTTTAAGTTTATTATTGGGTTATCATTAAGATTTCAGAAATTTTATGTTTCATTGAGACAAAACAGTATTGGAGTAAATATTTAAAGTTCTACCCAGATTTTTACTGGGTAGAGCTTTAATGTAGAAATGAACCGAAACCAAGAATTTGTCTGAGCCGAAGCTTCTGCCAAAGTCACTTTGCCAAAGCCAAAGCTTTTATATTTATACAGCTAAAGTTTTCTATATTGTGTATCTATCTAACTATCCTATCTATAAATATAACTATATTACTAATTTTAATAATAATATTTTATAGCTCGCATTCAGTCCTAAAAAGATGTCCATTAAAATTTTTTTAAACGTTCAGAACAATTTTTGGAAGTTCAAAAGTTGTTTTTTTCAGACCAAATGCCGTCTAAATAGATATAAAATATCTTATATCAAATTTAATGCAGCCGTTACCCATTTATGCAAGTTAACACAAAGTATTTTTAACAATGATTTATCATGCTTGGCTTTATGATGTTTCCCATTATAAGTTGTGACTAGGTTGGGGTGAGTTGTGACCATGAGTGAAGTACTCATAAATTTTTATTTACTATGTTATATATATATATATATATATATATATATATATATATATATATATATATATATATATATATATATATAAATATATATATTTATATATATATATATATAAATATATATATATATATAAATATATATATATATATATATATATATATATATATATATATATATATATATATATATATATATATATATATATATATATATATATATATATATATATATATATATATACTCTTGCATGGTAGTTAAAAAGAGTTTCCCATAAACTGTAGTTTTAAAGAGCGCGTTAATAAACCAGACCAGAAAAAGTTTAAAAACTTAAATTTTTTTTTTTTTAAATGGTAGACTGCCTGCCCAAACCAAACCCTCAGTCGATGTAGCAGCACTCCCTTGCGAGACAGGCTATTTGTCAGTTGTTGTAGCAGCACTCCCTTGCGAGTCAGGCTATTTGTCAGTCGATGTAGCAGCACTCCGTTGCGAGTCAGGCTATAAGATAGTCGATGTAGCAACATTTACGCATGTTTTAAAAATGTTTTTTAATAAAACAAAAACAAAAGCACTACTAATTAAAAAAAACTTTCTAGTCGTTATTATTGCGGTTTTTTAAAAAAATTTTAAAAAACAATAAAATTTAATGTACTTCCGCATTAATTTAATTGCTTTGACATTTCGACGACAATCAAATACAGCTTAAGAGACAAGGTAATTAAAATTGTAGTCGAAAGAGACTTTTTTTACATTAAAAGACTCTTTCGACTACACTATAAGGATATATATATATATATATATATATATATATATATATATATATATATATATATATATATATATATATATATATATATATATATATATATATATATATATATATATTTAAAAGTATAGGTTAGTGTGGAATAGACTTACAAAGACTTATATTTTTTTGATTCTGGTCAGCTAGTAAGAAATAAAAACAAATTGTTTCCTGCAAAAGTTGCTGTAAAACAAATTGCACAACTGCTTTACATTATTTTTATAATTTATTGAGCTTAAATAAATTTCAATACCAAAAAATAGTTTGCTGAAGCTGATGATTTAGCAAACATAACCCCTGGCTTTGGCCTAAGCCTAATATTTAGTACATCCTACTTTAAAGTAAGTGGAGAGTTTAGAAGATTAAAATCTAAACAGATCAGGGTTAAAATGGTCTAATCTGGAAAAGCAGAAATCCTAGAATATCTCCATGCTAGATTTGTTATGCTTTTTAAAGATTTTTTGTCTTCATATCACTTGTTATATCTCTGTTGCATGTAAAGTTAGACTTACTATATGTTCATTATCACAACTTTAATGACCAATTGCTTTGGCGATCTGAAATAATCTGGCTATTATTATTTTTTATATTATATATATTTTTTATATTTATAAATATTATAAACATAATTTTTTTTTTTTTTGACTAAGATATCTATATACCAGTTATTTAGTTGTGTGCTTATTTTCTTGTTTATTTCTGTTACTTTTACATTACAATACTGATTTTTATGTTACAGTACTGACTTAATTATTCTTTACAAAACTTTTTGTTGTTGTTTTTGTTTTATATTAGTCTAAATCTTTTTTCAAAAAGAATTATAATAAACAGAAATTAATTGATACACATCGACATTAATCAATACACATTGACATCAATCAATACACATAGACATCAATCAATACACATAGACATCTATCAATATATGCTATCAATAGTGCCAAAGAAATTTTTCTAAAAATTTTTTTTGTACTTGTTTTTTGGTTTTTAAAAAACATTAAAAAAATTCAAGAACATTTCAAAAAAAAAAAAATTTACAATATTTGAAAAAGCTATTTAAATATTTTTAATGAAATTTTAAAAACCTAAACAGTGTTTACTCGGTTTTCTTGTCTTGATAAGAAGCCAACACTCTCTGATTGCTTGGAGAGTGCTTTTGAGCTTGAAAAAGATCTCACTTTTGCTACAGCATGGGTTTCTCAGTGGCTGGTAAACTTTAACTCAGATAAAACTCAATTTTTTCCAGCTAATTGTTATTGTAATGATTTAGATCTTCCTATAGTTGTGAACGGTAAAGTACTTGATTAGTCATCTAGCCTTTATTTTCTAGGATTAGTTCTTCTGATCTTTCTTGGAAACCATTTATCAAATCAATTGCAAAATTAGCATCTGCTAAGGTTGCATCCCTTTATTGTGCTTTTCATTTTCTTTTAAATCTCAAATTCACTTCCTTTATCTTGTTTTCCTGGTTCATATTATTTACAATTTTTTAAGTCGTCTGTCATTCGTTATCTTGCTCTGTAAACTTCATTTTTTCTCTTCTAGTAACTTCCAGCTCTAATAGTGGTTGCTTGCAGCCTTGTTAGAAGTGAAGATGTTGGCAAAATGAAAAAGAAAAAAAGTATCCAATGTCGGGTTGTTCGCCAAAAAACAAAACTTGCGAAAATTTCGCATCTTTTTCTACCGTAATAGAATTGTTATTGCGGAAGTTGCACATGCCAAAATGCACATTCCGTAACGCACTATATGAAAATATAAATAAAATTCCATAATAAAGCATTACAAAAGCAAACTTGTGAAACAAATCATTTCGTAAGAATACTTACAAAATAGTTCCTTATGGAAGGACCATGTCGGAATGTGCAGTTGCGAAAAAGACGCAAAAGATTTTAGGTTACGATATATTTAAGATATTAACTGTTAACAGTTTATATAATAAATAATAAAAATATAAAAAAATGTTGTTAAATGATTCTTCAAGTGTTTATACAAATTTATTTATATAAATATATATAAATATATATATATATATATATATATATAAATATATATATATATATATGTGTGTATATATATGTGTGTGTGTGTATATATATATATATATATATATATATATATATATATATATATATATATATATAATATATATATATATATATATATATATATATATATATATATATATATATAGAGGCTTGGTTGAGAAGCGGGAGCGATCACTCTCGATTGCTGACCACGTAAATAATATTTAGTTGCAAAAGGCTGGCCAGATTTTTTAGACGTTTAGAGAACATTTTAAAAAGCAAAAAAAAAAAGCGCAAAAGATTAATTGGACCGATGATAGACAATTACGAAAAAAAAAAAAATTAGGCAATAAAATATCATTAAACGCGAAAAAACTTGAAGCTAAATAAATTACGTTTAAAACAAATATTTTTGAAACATCGATCTTTTATATTTTTTTTATAAAATTAGGCAATGTTTTTTATATAATATTTTATATGTAATTTTATTTATATAATAATTTTATGTAATAACTTACAATTGTTTTAAAAAGAAACAAATGCTCTTTATTTAGCAAAGTTTGCAAGTTTTAGTTTTATTTAAGCTAAATTATTTTTTAAATAAAAAAGTTAATTTTTTCAATACCTATTTTGTTTCGCGTAGTTTGAAAAGTTTAACATATTTGAAGCAATTCTTCTTAGTAAGTAACAAATGAAATGATTAAATCATTGAATTACTCTAGAAATTAAATTAACAAGATAGAAATCAACTAAAAAAGTGTTCTGTGGTGACCTCAGGTGCGGTGCTTGTTCATCCGCAAGATACTTTGTATGCGTTGTTTGTGTTTAGTAACCAGAAACTTCTTATATGTTTGTTACATAATTAGTTTTATTGACTATAACGATTATAACTTTATTGAAAACGCAATTGTTTTTGTAAGTCTTTGTTTAAATCATAAAAATTGCTTTAAAAGATACGTTACGATAAAAAAACAGATACACAAAATTACATTTACATAAAGATTACATACTTTTTAAATAAAAAATAAGAATATACTAATAAAGTCTATAATTTATAATAAACTTTTGAAATTTTGACAATTTAATATATATTTAAAATATTTATTTTTGTAAACAAATAATATATATTTTTAAAACAAGAAAACTAGAAATCTCAAAACGTAACAAATCGTGAGTAGGACAATTCCTAAAACATTTCAACAGAATACTCTAGAACTTTATTTTGCTAAGTCAGCATATTTTTTGAACCAATAGAATTAGTTTCTTTGTTAATTTGGCGGGTTTTTAGTGTTCGCGAATATTCTTTTTATTCTTTCGCACAAAGATGAGAACATTCAAGTTTATTATGTTTCCATGTATGTCCGTAAAACAAAAATTTTTTGTTTCGTACATAAACTTAAATGTTCTCAAAATGACTAAAAAACCTAGCCAGTTTTTCGCAACTAAATGTAATTTCCGTGGTCAGTATTCGAGAGCGATCGCTCCCGCTTCCTGACCATGCCTCTATATAT